GTTACAAACCAAAAGTACATTGTCATTGACTTTGATATTTACCTCTGTATTTACCTTTACTGGTGTTATTTCTTTGTGTGTGTACAAGTTATTATCCACTGTCATTTTAGCCTAAAGTTCTCCCCCTAGCATTTTTTTAAGGTAGATGTACTAGTGACAAACACTTGGTGTTTGTATATGGGAATATCTTCGTTTCTTCCTTATTTTTGAAGGACAGTTTTTTCAGACATAGAATTCTTGGTTGACCTCTTTCTTTCAGCACTTTGAATATATCATCCAATGCCCGGTGGTCTCCATGGTTTCTGATGAGAAATCAACTGGTAACCTTACAGAGGATCCTGCGTTTATGATAAGTCACCTCCCTCTTGCTGCTTCTAGGATACTGTCTTTGTCTTTCAGCAGTTTGATTAATAGGTGTTACAGTGTGGATCTCTGTCTCTTTGAGTTTATCCTACTTAGGTTTGTTGAGCTTCTTGGATATCTACATTTGTCTTTTATCACATTTTGAGAAGCTTTTAGCCATTATTGTTTTAAATATTCTTTCCGATCCTTTCTCTCTCTTCCCTATGTCAGTGACTCCCATTGTGTTTATGTTGGTATGTTTAATGGTATCCCACAGGTCTCTTGGGCTCTGTTCCTTCTTTTTTTTCTCTCTCTCTCTCTCTTTCTGCCCTTCAGATTAGGTAATAGAAGTTGTCCTATTTTCATGGTCACTAATTCTTCTGCCTGCCCAAAGCTGCTGTTAAGCCTTTCTTCTGAGTTTTTTATTTCAGTTTTTGTACTTTTCAAATCAAAAATTTCTGTTTGGCTTCCTTTTGTAATTTCTATCTCTTTTTAAACGTTTTCTATTTGATGAGAATTTGTTCCCATGGTTTTCTTTATTTCTTTATACGTGGCTGCATTTAGGTCTTCGAACATATTTTAAATAGTTGGTTTATTTCTTTTGTCTAGTAAGTCCAATCTTTGGGCTTCCTTAGGAACAGTTTCTACCAATTTCTTTTTTCTTGTAATGAGGTACATACTTTTGTTTCTTCACCCTACTCATAATTATTTGGTTGAAAACTGGACATTTGGAATATATAACATAGCAGTTCTGGAATCAGGTTTTCCCCCATCTCTGGGGTTTTTTGTTGTTGCTTGTTGTAGTTGGTGATGTGTGTATCTTTAGTGATGCTTCAGAACTAATTTTGTAATGTCTGTATTTGCCCTGTGTGGTCACTGAGGTCTCATTTCTGTTAGATTAATGATCATCAAATGATTTGTCAGAGATTTCTTCGAGGGCCTTGAAGCAAAACACAAAAATCTCCCTGTCTCTTCAGATGGGTTCTGTGTATACATTTGGGCACTCCTTCAAAACTTAGCTGGGTTAGCCTTGACTTCCTGCTTGTGCAGATTCTGAAGGTCAGCCACAGGTGAGGTTTAGTGCCCTCCCAGGTCTTTTATGAGCATGCGCCCAGCCCTGGGTTTGTGTGCAGCATTCAGATTCCTAAGAATATGAGGGAGATTTTCAAAGCCCCATTCCCCAAATGTCTTTTTCTGCACTTTTCTTCCCAGGATTTCTGGTGTTTTGTTTGCTTCTACTGTTTTCTCTTGGCTCAAGCAGTATTGACTGACTAACATATTTGTCTTTAAATTTATTCATCACATATGTCCTGGGTAGTCAGCTCTGGCCTCAGAGCATTTAAAGTTAAACAAATAAAAGCAAGTCCTCTGAACTAGTCCTCCAGGGAGTCACTGGACAGGTCCAAAGAAACAACCACAGGGTAAAAAAAAAAAAAAAAGAAACAACCACAGAATAAGGTCTGTTCTTCTTCCTCCAGAACTAGGAATGGGGGCTCTTTTCTTCCAGGTCATGGACAAAGCAGGGGAGAGAGGATGGGCTGTGGTCAGTTAAAATGTCATAAAGTTCTCTTAACCAAATTCAGCTGCAATTTCTTCTTCATTAAGCATTGTAGCAGTTGCTGTAAACTTTTCATATGTTTGCAGAGTTCCAATAAAATTGATTCTGATGGGTTTTGCCAATTTATTCATTGTTTTTGTGGAGGAACAGACTTTCAAAGTTTCCTACTCCATAATTTTCACTGTTGTCATTTCTCACAAGTTTTCTGAAGCACCTCTGTGTTTCTAGTTCTGTGCAGGTGGTTGGGAACACAGTGGTGAACAAGACAAACATGGTCCCCACCCTCATGGAGCTAATACCCTCCCTATGAACTGAATATCCATTTCTTGACCTGACTTTATATTCTTTATGGTTAAAAGTTTGGGGGCTTCTGAAGTGTGTATTTCAACTTAGGCATGGGGTTCTGGGACTGTTTTTGCCCTATCACCCAGAAAATTGAGTTGAGAATGACTGCATTTTTGTTCCTTGAGAGTTACTACATTTACTAGAATTTATTAGAATCTAGATGTAATTATTCCCTTGTTCCTACAGTCACACTTTTCCACCTTCAGAAGTGTTGACTTCAGTTTCATGGAGCTGCTTGTCCCCTGCACAGTCCCCCTCTATCAAGTGTATTTTCTTTATACATAGGGTGTCATGTTGATAAACACAGTCTGATATCCCAGTTGGAGCCAGAAGACAAGATGATGACAGAGGAAACCTCCCAGGCCCCTGTCCAGGTGAGCACCAGATGGCTAGGAGCCCTTCGGAGGAACAGCTCTGGCTAGTGACTCGGGGGATGAGAATGTTACATTAGTTAATGTCAATCAGAGAACTTTGTAAAACATACCTGTTTCTGACAAATATACACAAGATGTTTGTTTTAAGCTTCCTTGTGTACTTTCTTCTTTCTTTAACTTTCTGTTCATTATCTCATACTTTCATTTGGCCTCAGGAGAGAAACAAAGACACAGCTCTTTTCTGTTTTAAATTTTAAGTCTAATCCCTTTTGTCAATTTCTGATCAATCCCAATCATTCTAGAATTTTTTAATTGATATCTGAAACTTCCATAACCAAGTCCCCCTTATTGCAGACCCCCTCAAAAACCCCAGTCCTTCAGAATCCACCTTTACCCATGTGTACACTTCACCATTTCTTTTCACCATCAACCTAAATTTCTTTTGTTTCAGATTTGGAGTCTCTACTTAAAGCCAAATGGTTCATGCCGAAGAAACATGCTTTTAGAAAAGAACCGTCTAAAGGTGTAAAAGTGGTAAGACTAATATGGATGATTTCTGGTTTTCCACAGTAGGGGAATGCCATAAGTTAGAAAAAAAAAAAAAACAAAATAACCAGGAAAGTCATTAAAGGAAAGTGCCATTTACACTTCAGAGAGTGTTGACCCTGGAGAGATACTGTGAAACTCTTCTGAATTTGGAGAAAAGTATTAGTTCCAAACTTGTTTCTTCACTGAGAGTTTTCACAAGTAAATATTTCCTTAAATGTGACT